AGATAGATAGATAGATAGATAGATAGATAGATAGATAGATAGATAGAGATAGAAGACACAGAGAAAGGGGAATGGGTGGATATATATGGATGGAAAGAAAAAGAAAGAAAGAGAGAAAGGAGGGAGGGAGGAAAGAAAGAGATAGACAGATAGATAGATAGATAGCACTAGCAATAGCCCTTAGACTTATATGCCGCTTCACAGTGCTTCCGAGCCCTCTCTAAGCGGTTTACAGAGCCAGCCTATCACCCCCAACCCCCTGGGTCCTCATTTGACCGACCTCCGAAGGACGGAAGGCTGTAGAGAAAGTGAGAAAGCAGGCAAAGGAAAGAACCCCGAAAGAAGTCTTCAGTTACCTGGGACTGGATCATCCTTTCAATTCTTAACTACGCGGTGAAAGAGGGCACGAGGAAAAGGAAAAAAGAAGGAAAATAAAAAAAAAAACAAAAAACAAGTTAGTTCAGGCACAGAGAATAAATTAGGAAAAGGAAGCCGAGGAAACGAGACTAACTGAACATGCAGATCCTGAGAATTCGCTTTTGACCAACCAGGAGAAGCTTAAGGGAAAGAATGGGGGGGGGGGGGGGGGGGGGGGGAATGTCTGCCCATGAGGAACAGGATTATGGGTAATGACGTAGGTTGCCAATCTGTTGAAACGGGAATGAAGGATTTCGGAGCTGGAAGGGACCTCGGAGGTCTTCTAGTCCAACCCCGTATTCTACTGCCATTCAGTCAGAAATCCCCCGGGGATTCTCTGTGTTCAGAGGGGGAAAAAAATCCTATTTGAGCTTTTTATTTCAAAATAGGTTTTATTGGCATGATGGGATTTGGTTCTCAGACATCAGGAGGGGTTCCATATTTGGAAATGCCTACTCCGGAGGCCATTAAAACAGGGGAAATACTACCCAGCTGATATAAACCAGGATTTATTTTCTTTCTTTCTTTCTTTCTTTCTTTCTTTCTTTCTTTCTTTCTTTCTTTCTTCCTTCCTTCCTTCCTTCCTTCCTTCCTTCCTTCCTTTCTTTCTTTTTAGAAATAAAGCATTTTATTAAAATTGTCATTAGTGCAAGGAGTCTTAAATCAAAACATAACATTTACGTGTTCATACTAAGTTAAGCAAATAACAGAGTGAGGTTCTTTGGTAGTTTTAAATTAAGAGTAAGGCAAATAAAAATCCGCCACTGCTCTTCGATCGTGCTAGTCAAACCTAAAAAAAAACAATGATTGTCTACAGTACTATTTAAATATATCTGTTTGAAAAATGCTGTAAAACTGGCTTTTCAAAAGTTACAGAATCGTTTTTTTTAGGAGGCCGACAGATTTCCGTTTCTCCTGGAAGATATTCCATTAGGGAATAATAATAATAATAATAATAATAATAATAATAATAATAATAATAATAATAATAATAATCATAATAATAATAAGTCCCGTGTGTGTGTGTGTGTCAGGTTTTGTGACCTTTTGACAAGTAAGGTCAGGGTGGGGGAAGCCAGATTCACTTAACGACCACATTAGGAACTGAACCATGGCAAGGATTCACTTAGCATCGGTGGCAAGGAAGGGTTAGGGTTAAAATGGGGTGAAACTCACTTAACTGATGTTTCTACTTAGTGACCGAAATGCTGGGGTCAACGGTGGTCATAAGTCGAGGGTTACTCGTAGGATAGAGAAATCAAGGAGCCAGAACACAAGGCTGGGGAGGAGCTAATGTTGGCTTTCCGTGAGGTAGTGACTCTGGTTGGACGAGAAACGGTTCTTAGGATCGCACCCAGTGGAGCACACAAAAAAGGAACACCACAACAACTCGCAAAAAGAGAGGAGAGGGGCTGGCATGCAGGGGAAGTCACTACTTCGCTATGGTTAAAGCCCCCAGCGGAAATGAAATGACAACACCATGCTTGGTCACTAAGGGAGGACGGCGGTCAAGCGGCCAACCCCACGCTGACAACCGGGGAACGAGGAGCGCGGGATGTTTCTACAGGGAGGCGATGATGGTACGGATCTGGAACGGAGGGTCGGGCGCGGCAGATCCGATCTTACCGGTGAAGAATATAGGGGATTTACTCCGAATTTCCTCCATTTTCTCAGAAAACAAGGCATTCATTTCCCGCTGAAGGGTGCCCGCCTGTTTGCGGGCGCTCTCCGGCCAGCCCTGGGAGAAATCGGGGCTCTCGAGGCTGTCTAGACTGCTGGAACTGGAGGACACCGAGCCATTGTTGGAGCTCACTAGGTTAACGGTGCTGCGGTATTTGCCGCTGGGTGGTGCGCGCCACCGCCGCCACGACCGGTCCTTGGGCCCGAGACATGCCGAGTCCCCTTTTTTCTTCCCTGAGGTCCCAAAGGGCTGGCAGGTTCTGGTCAGGCTCCTGGTAGCCCCGTAGCTGGTGCATAGGTGCAGCTCGGAGCGGGCGTGGGGCTGCTCCTGGACCCCCCAAGGTTTCAGCTCCGCCCGCTCCTCACCCTCCAGGCTGCCGCAGCAGCCGTAGTGGGGAGGGTCGCCGGAGGTGGGCTGGCCGGCGCCGGGCTCGCTCCACTGGCCCTCCACCTCGGGGCTGTCGCTGGAGCCGACCACACACTTCATGCAATAGGTGGCCATGCCCATCCTACCCGGTTCGATGCAGGTGAAAAGGCCTTGTTTCTGCCCGGCGGGTTCTCGGAGGCAGATCCGGCTCGATCTCCGGATGGGCTCGCTGAAGGTGGCGTCCTGGTACCCCTGGCCGCCTCGCCTTTGCTCTCTGCCCCAACTGTGAGCCTTACCTTTGGATCCCTTGGGGTCCCCTGCCATGCCGCCGAGACTCTCTCGGGAAGGCGATGGCGCCGGGGACGGGAGGTCGGATTCCTGGTCAAAGCGAGGGTGGGAGGAGTCTTCCAGAGCGGGGACCTTGCCGTCACCTTCCGAGCTCTCGTCTCGGGCATCCAGGGCGATCTTGGGCTTTTTTAAGCTCTTGGTGGGCGCGCTGGCCGTCCGCCGTAAAAGCTGACTGCTAAAGGAATGTTTGCGGTTGAGCTGACCAGCAGCATGGCTGTCGAGAGAGGCCTGCTTTGGACTTCTGAGAAAGAGGCTTTTTAGGCCCAGCGCTGGTTTGACCTGCCGGGGAGGGGTGGGGAGAGGGGGAGAGAAGGAGAAGAAGGAGAGAGAAGCCATAACAGAGCGGGTAATGTTTCTTCCCCAGGGTGTGGCGACAACCGAAATGAAACCCGGGCCACACACTCTCGGTAGCCGTAGGGCGTGATTCAGGGTAGCCTCAGCTAATCCCGGAATGGGAGGGAAGAGAGAGGAACGGCCAGTTGGTTTCTGGACCTCACAGCTTTCCCCAGATGTTTCCATTTCCTAACTAAATGATGGTGTATGTCCCCTGGGACCACAAACCCAATCGCCTGTTGGAACATGTCTAGCATCGGGGGTCCTTGGCGCTCTCTGAGCTTGGTGGCTTTCATGGAGATGTTGCATTACCCAAGTAGGTAACGTCATCAGTGGGAAGAGGAGGAGGAGGAGGAGGAGGGGGAAGAGGATGTAGTGGACTATGGGGATCCCTCGTGCTCTCTAAGCTTGGTTGCTTTCTTGCGGACGTTTCATGACCCAGCTAGGAAACATCATCAGTGTTAGAAGGGAATGAAGTTGGCTCTCTCTCTCTCTCTAAGCTTGGTGGTTTTCTTGTAGATATTGTATTACCCAAGTAGGTAACATCATCAATGCTAGGAGGAGGAGGGAGGGGAGGAGGAGGAAGAAGAAGTAGACATGGGGGGGTCTTCAAACTTGACAGCTTGAAGACTTGTGGGACTTCAACTCTCACAAGTCCTCCTCCAGTCATGTTAGCTCAGGGATTCTGGGAGTTGAAGTCCACAAATCTTAAACTTGCCAAGTTTGGAGACCCTTGAAAGTAGACTGTGGGGTCCTTGGTGCTCTTCTGAGCTTGGTGGATTTTCTTGCAGACATTTCATGACCCGGCTAGGTAACATCATCAGTACTAGAAGAGATTGGCTCTCTTTATCTACTGGAGCCATGATGGCGAACGTATGGCACGTGTACCACAGGTGGCACGCAGAGCCATTTGTGCCGGCACACAGGCTGCAGGCAAACTTACCTCACTGCGCATGCGAGCACCCCCCAGCTGATTTTCGGCGGGTTTGAGGCCTTTTACGGCCTCCCAGAGGCTTGAGAAAGGCTTCTGCAGGCTTCTGAAAGCTTTGCAGGCCAAAAACTAGGCCCGTTTCGTCACTTCCGGTATTTTCAGAAAAACAGGACGTGATGAAACGGGGCTAGTTTTCGGCCTGCAAAGCTTGCAGAGCCTGCAGAAGCCTTCCTCAAGCCTTTGGGAGGCCAAAAAAGGCCCTCAAACCAGCTGTGAGGCACAGTGCAGGCAAGGGGGTGGCGGGGGTGGGGGGATTGCGCGCGCATGCGCAAGGGAGGTGGGGAGGCGTGCATTGCCTTCTGGGTGCTGGCACGCGAACACAGGAGCCCAAAAAAAGGTTAGCCACCACTGTACTAGAGGCTCGCCATATATAAATAGAGAGCCAACCCTTCTCCCTTCTAGCACTGATGATGCAACCTAGTTGGGTCATGAAACGTCTGCAATGAACACAGCCCAGCTCAGAGGGCACCCAGGATTCCATAGTTCAACCCTGAGTTGTTGTTGTTATTATTATTATTTAAAAACTAAGTGATTGGCCACCTCTTCATTGCTTTTGTCATGTAGGGGCACCCATAACATAATTAAGATATCTGGGCAGAACATAAAGGATAATTGTCAAGCTAGCCACAACCCTGTACATAGACAGATAGACTGCAACAAAAAAAAAAACCCAGCAAGAAATCTCTCACGTACAACATACACAGATCGTGGAAGAGGGGGCTTCCACCCCATGCCCCCCCACCCCAAAAAAACAAGAAACCCCCTTCCCCCAATTGATGGAATGCAGTGGGGTGTAAGTGATATTTCTTCCCCCCTCCCTTCCCACCAGACCCTTCGAGGTCACTGGATGCATCCCCGACCCCGGCGAGGCTATTCACTGACGCTTGAATCCAAGCAAGCGATTCAAGACCCCAAATCCGGGTGCAAATTTGGTGGGAAGGGAAGGAAGCCGTTTAAGAAGAAGATCCAGCACGTCCGTTCCTGAGGAATCCAGTCCCAGGAATTGGGTCCCTTAAACCGGGGGGGGGGGACAATTCGTGGGCGTTACGTTTAGGGGGTGAGGGTGCCCTTGGCTCAAGACAGAGCAGCTGTTATTGGGTTCAGAAGGAAAAAAAATAACCCATCCCTCCGTTGAGAGAGAGGAAGGGAAGGTAGTCCTTGACTTACAACCGTTCATATAGTGACTGTTCGAAGTTATGACGGCCCGGGAAAGAGTGACTTAGGATCATTTTTCGCATGACCATTGCAGCATTCCCAGGGTCATAGGATCCAAGTTCAGAGCCTTGGCAACTCATCATCTTTCATCCTCTTTTAACAGCCCCGTAATCCCTTGTGGGGTGGAGTCGGGGCAACTGAATGGAGCTGAGTGCTTACTGGCCAGATGCCCTTCCTGTTGCTGATGAGGAGTTTTATTCAGCAGATATAATCTCACTGTGCCCAAGGAGAGAAATATCTGCCTCTACTTAGACTCTAACAGCCTCCTGATTGTTGAGGTGACAGCTCCACCTCTAGGCCACCATACCACTCTAGACCCTTGGCAACCGACTCATACTTATGACCGTTGCAGCACCCCCAGGATCAGGTGATCAAAATGCAGGCACTCGGCAACTGACTCATACTTATGACCGTTTGCCATATCCCAGGGTCACGTGATCCCCTTTGGCGCCCTTCTGACAAGCAAAGCCAACGGGGAGGAAGCCAGATTCCGGCTTAACAACCGTGTGACTAATTTAACAGCGGCGGTGGTCCGCTTAACAACCGTGGGAAACCCGTGTATAACGGGAGAGGGAGGGGCAAAACTCACTGTACAGCCGTCCCACTTAGACATTTTGAGCTCAGCTCCGATTGTAAGTCGAGGACTACCTGTTGAACCGGGGAGGGATAGTTAAAAAAAACAACAACACACACACACACACACACACAACAACATTGGAGAATCCTGGATCTGCTTCATAAACGTGGGAATAATCTACAGGTTTGATGGCTCAGCCCAGCATTCCGTGGAAATGTCGCAATCCATGTTATATGAGTGGAAGTTTTGGGTTGGGGAGGTGTGTATGTGTATGTGTGTTGTGTGTTGTTGATTGTTGGTGGATATTTTTTTTTCCCAGGAGGAGGAAAAAAAAAAGAAAGAAAAGAAAGCTAAATCAGGAAAGAAAGACAGACAGACACACACACACACACACATAACAAAAAATGTTTCATGAAGTTTTGGGGTGTACGGAAGCATGCAAGCATCGCGATGCTCCCAACCGCTCATTCCACCTTCCTGGGTTGGCGAGGAAGGGAGGAAGGGTACCTTCGAGGCGTCTACATTTGCTCTGCTTCTAAAAGGAGGCTTTTTGGGAGGGACACAGAGAAGGAGGCCACTGCAATCACAAACAGACAGAAGGAGAAGGCAGAAAGTGAGACACGGAGGAGGAACGAGAAGAGGAAGAAGAACAAGCCGAGATTGTCCCTGCGAGACATTTAGGAGTCACATGTGAGAAATCAGACAAGTAACATAGATAAACTATAAAAGGGATGCGGAGAGAGCGGGGGGGCGAGGGAGAGAGAGAAAAAGAGAGAGAAAGAAAAAGAGGGAGAGAAAAAGAGTGAGAAGAGAGAAAGAGAGAGAAAATGAGAAAGAGAGAGAGAACAAGAGAAAGAAAGAGAAAGAGAAAGAGAGAAAGAAAGAGAAAGAAAAAGAGAAAGAGAGAACAGAGGGGAGCAAACAGGTGGAGTTTGACATTATTCAATTCCCCCCAAGGAATACAGAAAAAAAACGAACAGAAAAAGAGTGAAGTGGCTTTCTGAGCAAACCAGATTAATTCTTAAAAAGTCTCTCTCTTTGCCATAAAGAGAGACCCCCTTCCCAATTTGCACAGCTATGCACTTTAAAAGTTAGGGAAGTGCTGAAAAAATGATTAACTACCTGCTTCTGAGAACTTAGGTACAGATTAACAGAGTTGGAAGGGACCTTGTAGGTCATCTAGTCCAACCCCCCACCCCCTGCGCAACAAAGAGACCCTACACCATTTTTGACAGATGTCAAAATTTTTGTCCAGTCTTGGTGGGGGTGGGAGGGGAGAAACTACAGTTCCCATAATTCCCATGGGAAGGAAAAATGTCCATTCCGGGCTCCCAAACCGATTTCTTTTCTTTTTCCTTTGGTCCAGATCAGGGCTAACAGCTCTCTCTCTCTTTTTTTTTTCCTGGGGTTATTTTGATTTCCCTTTCTGCCGTGATGCTAGTTGCCAATGTGGATTTTTTTTTTTTTTTTTGCAGAAATCGTTGCAGAAGGGTGTTCCATACCAAATTCAAATCATGAACGGGTGAAAAGTCCCCTTTTCTGTATAATTTTTAGCGAGAATTATTGAGTCTATCACCTGCAACCCAACAGGACAGACACAGACACAGACTCCAGAGAGGAATTAGGACTGCAGAATATAGCAATTGCTACCAACCTGCCTCCCGTGGAGGACCTGTGTCCTGCACGAGTCAAAAAGAGGGCCGGGAAAATATCTACAGACCCCTCACACATCCCGGACATAAATTGTTTCGACTCCTTCCCTCAAAACGACACTATAGAGCTCTGCACACCAGAACAACAAGGACGGTTTTTCCCAAAAGCCATCCCTCTGCTAAACAAATAATTCCCTCAACACTGTCCAACTATTTACTAAGTCTGCATTATTATTCCTATTAACCTTCTCATCACCCCTTATCGCCCACCCGCTCCCACCTGTGACTGTGTGACTGTAACTGACTGTTTCTTGGTATGATTTGATTGCTTATTGTACCCAATGACTATTATTAAATGTTGTACCTTAGGATTCTTGATTCTTAACGAATGTCTCTTTTCTTTTATGTATACTGAGAGTATTTACACCAAGACAAATTCCTTGTGCGTCCAATCACACTTGGCCAATAGAGAATTCTATTCTATTCTATTCTATTCTATTCTATTCTATTCTATTCTAT